CTGAGTGGGCGGGGCCTAGGAGGGGCGGAGCAAGGAACGGGGCGGGGCCTAGGACGGGGCGGGACGTCAGCTGAGCGGGTGAGCGCACGCACGGGTTTCGTCCTCTGCCACCACCTGGCTCGAGGCTCCCTCAGGGGCGCCGGGGCTCCCAGTTGCTCCCTCTCCGAGTTGCCCTTGTGTCCGGCGGCCGCCCCTGACCCAGCGCTCCTCTCGGAAGGCAGCTGGGAAACCTGGGGACTTTATGGAGCGCCGGCTGCGTGCCTCTCTCTGCGTGCCTCTCAGGATGCAAGCAGTTGATTTGACCAGAAAGGCATAGTACCAGCAAAGAAAAAGCGTTTAGGTTTCACAGCGCGAGACCACCAGGAACAGTCCTTAGACGAGGTGAGGTGTTTGTTGTGTTTTGGGGGGTTTTTTTGGACTTTTTGCAACAACTGACACTGGATGGAGACTGCACATCAGGGAAACTGTGGAGCCCCTCACCAAATAAAGGGGGCGGAGAGATAGAGTATTATAGTATAGCGGGGAAGGGAGAGGTTTAAGTGCTATAAAGAGGGGGGAAAAGAGGCAGGGGACTGTTTTAGACTTTACATTCAGTGAAAGGGCAGCATTGGCATCTTCTCTCTTACTCTATCTTGTGTTCTTGCCCCTCCGCCTTCTAACTCCTTGCAACTTCTCTGGGTTTGGAGCCCTGGGAGAGAGGACCAAGGAGAGGCCAGGAAAGGCTCCGGTTTGATTGACACTGCTGTGCGCTGGACTCTAGGCAGTTTTTTTAAAGCTGGCCCTTTTCTTTTAGAATCTAAAATTTAGATGGTTGTGTAAGTTCTTCAAGGATCTCCCCCCCCCCCTCATAACTGGATAATCTTTAATCTTCAATTCTCTTGACCCAGACAAATAATATATCTTTATTGATTTCAGAGAGGAAGGGAGAGGGAGATAGAGATAGATACATCAATGATGAGAATCATTGATTGGCTGCCTCGTGCACACCACCCACCAGGGGTTGAGGCTGCAAGCTGAGCATGTGTCCAGTCGGGGAATCCAAACATGACCTCCAAGTTCATAGGTTGACACTCAACCATTGAGCCACACCGCCAGGCACCGTTGATATTTTAAGCATCCTCTCTACTGATGTTTGTTCATCCCTCCAGGGTATGGTATCCCTTGGAAAACCCAAGATCACCCAACCTGGTTCATTTCCCCGGGGTCCCACATCTGATCCACAGGTGTTACAGGTCAGGTTTTGTGGAGAGCGGCTACAGTGTTCGGACAGGTTCAAGCCTCGGCCTAATGAGAGGGCACAGTCCTCTCATGGCAAAGCCACGTGCAAGTCCCAGCTTGGAGGGCAAAGCCCTCCCAGCACAATTATAGCTAAAAGCTATAGTTGTAAGCTTGACCCTATGGTCCGAACCTGCGGTCCCACATGGCTGAGTGATGTGGGCTTGATAGAGTTCAGGTGCATGTAATTGCGTAGATTCGGAACCCACAAGAATGTTGTAAACATCTTGACCACGCCCTTACTTTGCCTTGTGGAATCTGGCTATAAAATAAAGACACAGCTTGTAGTCTGGAGTGCTGTCGCTAGCTCTCCATCAGAGAGGACAGCGTCCCACCCAGACCCAGCTTTTTTCTCTTGTCTGTCTTTTCTCAATCCTTCACCGCCCCCTCTCAGGCTCACCGAACCTGGCTGAGCTGGCTCCGCACATATGGTGCCCAACGTGGGGCTGAGTATGCCATGGCCGTGCTGGCTCGGCACAAGGTTTCCTGGGAAGCAGACTCTGAGATGGACATAACCATGCGAGCTGTTTGTTAGGGAGTGCCTTTGGGGTCAACACCTATGGAAAAGAAGGGAAAGAAGCAAAATTGGGCAGTGGGACTAGTTGAGCTTTGCTGCAGTCTTAATGGAGACCTCAGCCAGTCTGGGAGTTCAGAGATGAGATTGCCCTGTAGAGTTGTCCTAAATTGGGGTGGGGGGTGGGGGGGGGAATGCGACCTTATACCCCTATACCAGCCAGGTATTAGTTCTTTTCAGCCAAAACAATCCATGTGGAGAATGACCATTGATGGCTGTCTGCTTTTATCACTTCCAGTGGCTGGAGGAACAAGTCTTTCAGTCATCATGACATCTACCACAATAGGAAACACAATCTTTGCCCCAAAGAACTCTGGAGATACAGGCCAATTCTAACTCCCTCCATCAAAGTAACTAGTCATTCTGTCTCTTACCCTTTAAGAGTTTCTTCAGGAAGGAATCAGAGACCAGGCCATTATGTTTTTCAAAGTCCAGGAGAAATATATTAGGTTCTTCTGGTAGTTTCCTGGGATAAAGGGAAACATTCCCACCATCATGGTATCTCAAGAATTCTCTCTTTTATAAAGTCCTTTCAGGTCTCTGACTTCCAAGTTTTGTACACTCAATGTGGATCATTCCACTAGGTTTCTGGCCACCTCCTTTGAAAATTCTGTATCTTAGTCTTGTACCTCTTTTGGAATGTGCCTCAGCGGAAGACTTCCATTATGATGTTTGTATAAATAAGCCAACTGCAAGCTAATAAAAAACAAACTGTACTAACTCCCCATAGTTTGTGGAGTAAATTCAGACTCTGCAGCCTGGGACTGGGTGCCCCCAAGCAGTGAATCTCTCCTTTTTCCACCTCTCATCTATCTGGCAACATCCCTGTACCCACTTCCATCCTAGTCAGACTGATTTTCTTCTCGTCCTCAAACCAGCATGGTTTCTATTTCCTTTCAGTACTCTCTGCCAACCCTCACTGTTTTCAAAGTCCAGCTTCTTTCTCTAAGTAACTTATTCTGGATAATCCTATCTTTCAAGAGTTCACCACATCAACATTTTATTTCAACAATCCTCACCTACTATGTGCAAAACACTGTACTTAAACTGTTTTCCTGACCTTGTTCTTCATTAATTGTATTTGCATTCTATCCATCTTGGTTTTGTGGTCGTTGCTATGCCATTTGTTACTTAGATTCCTCACCTGCAACCCTTATTGAGCTCTTGCTGAAAACATAATGTTGTGCAAATGACTGATGACCCAAACAGGTGTCAAAAAGCATGAGTTGTCACTGCCTTCCTTAATAATGTTTAAATAGCTTTGCAGATACCCTCAAACACAAATCCAGGTTTGCTGAGCTCATGGATACTTTCCCTATATAGTAATTACTGGCTATCTTTCTCTCAAGGACAATATGTATGTATAAATTCAACATGCATGCTGACTTTGGATAACTATTGTTTAATGCCTAAGTAACCTAACTGTGTGAGTGAGCCCAAAGGTGATCAGATACAGGCTGCTAGCCCAGTGGTCGGCAAACTCATTAGTCAACAGAGCCAAATATCAACAGTACAATGATTGAAATTTCTTTTGAGAGCCAAATTTTTTAAACTTAAACTATATAGGTAGGTACATTGTTATTAACTTAATTAGGGTACTCCTAAGGCTTAGGAAGAGCCACACTCAAGGGGCCAAAGAGCCGCATGTGGCTTGCGAGCCGCAGTTTGCCAACCACGGTCTAGCCCAGTGATGGCGAACCTTTAGAGCTCGGCGTGTCAGCATTTTGAAAAACTCTAACTTAACTCTGGTGCCGTGTCACATATAGAAATTTTTTGATATTTGCAACCATAGTAAAACAAAGACATATTATTGGTATTTATTTTATATATTTAAATGCCATTTAACAAAGAAAAATCAACCAAAAATTGAGTTCGCGTGTCACCTCTGACACGCGTGTCATAGGTTCGCCATCACTGGCTCTAGCCCATACTCAGTATAATAGTCTGTTGGGTTTTCAAAATATTTCTTAATCCTAAAACGTCATAGAATTTTGTGTTTTGCAACCTCATAATTCATTTTCCTTCTTATGCTGAATTTAACTCGCATACCTCAGTCTGTATTTTGAAAGGATAACTTAGAATACACAACTATGGTGAGGAATGAAGTCACCAAGTCTCTGGCAGGCAGTATGTGACTATTTAACACATCTCTCCTTGAAAGGTGAGGTTTATGTTGAGGACGTGGGACCCAGTGAAAATGAAATGTAGTGCCCTTTGTTCAAAAATTATAAAGAGTTTAAAGGTGGCAGCAATAGAGCTTTAAACAACACATGGGGCCCTTTTGAGTTGAGGGCCTTTTTGAGGTCAGGGCCCTATGCAAGTGCCCTTGGGGTTCTTCAAGGGATTGCACACCTCCAGCCTGTTTATGACGTCCTCCTTTGAATTTGGGCTCTGTGACTGCTTTGACCAGTAGACTATGGCAGAAATGACACTGTGCCAGTTTCTGAGCCCAGGCCTTGAGAAAATGGAAGCTTCCACCTCCTGTGTCTTGGAGAACTCTCTTTGGGAGCCTTGAGCTGCCATGCAAGGGGCCCTATAACCCCAATGGAGACTGCCAGCCTGGAGAGGTTATGTATAGGCATTCTAGGCTATAGTCCCAGTTGAGCCCAGCCTTCCAGCCAAGGCACATGGAGGGAAGCCATCTTGGACTCTTCACACCAGCCTATTCACTAGCTCTTTACAACTTAAGTGATGTCAGTTGACACTACAGGGAGAGCAGAAGAATCACCCAGCCAACCCCTATCCAAATTTCTGATGCACAAAATCATGAGACATAAAAAAAATTGTTGGTTTAGGCCACTGACTTTGGGGGTAATTTCTTCTCACAGCTGGAACAAAGAAAAAGTTTCTGTACATTTGGTCAAGATAGCTTGTAAAATTAATAAATAATGCAGCCTCCTTCTAAAAAATGTGATTTGTAAAATAAATTTTATTTGCATAGGTTAGTGTATGTGTGGTTCTCAGACTACGAATCTCAGAATCACTTGGGACAGTTGTTAAAAATTGGGATCCGCTGAATTTTAATTTCTGAGACTAGAGCTTGCAAATTTGCATGTTTAGTTAACTCCCAGGTGGTAGTTATGTAATTTAAGACATCAGAACCACTGAAATTGCATAAAAACATTAGGAATGATCTAATTCCTTGCTACTCAAAATTTGGTCCACAGATAGCAGCATCGGAGTCACCTTAAAGTTGATTAGGAATCAGATACTCAGGTGCCATCATGGACCCACTGAATTACAAAGTGCAGATTTAAAAGATCCCCAGGTCATTTGAATATACCTTACAATCTGAGAGACACTGCTGTAGAACAATGATTCATAACCTTGGCTGCACATTACAATCACTTGAAGAACTTAAAAAAATACTGCTGCTTAAACCTATCCTTGGACCAATTAGATCAGATTCTCCAGGGGTGGAGATCTGGCCATCATTATTTTTTTAAAGCTCCTCAGAGGATTTTAATCAATAGTTAAGGGAGAAAATCAATTTTAGAGACAGGAATGGCACCACAAATGACCAAAATATCTCTGAGAAAATGTATCACCTAGGGATAAATGAGCATTATCTAATTGGTAATGCTGTATGGAGAAATACATAGTCTTCAAAAGGAAAGGAATTTTTCTAGAAGGAGGGGGTTCTAATTCTCATTAAAATTATTAACTTTGGCCCTAGGCCTAGGCTGTTTAGTGCTTTTCAGTTCTACCGAATGAACTCTGATTCCTAAAGTCTGTGAGTATGACTGATTTCAGGAATTACGTAATTAAGAATGGGGACCATCTAATCCAGTGGTTCTCAACCTTGGCTGCACATTAGAATCACCTGGGAATCTTTAAAATCCTGATTTCTGGGCCTCATCCTCCGGAAGTTCTGTTTCTTTGTTATGGGGTGGGGCCACAACATTCGTAACAAAGAAACAGAATTTCTGGAGGATGAGGCCTGGAAATGAGGATTTTAAAAAGATTCCCAGGTGATTCTAATGTGCAGCCAAGGTTGAGAACCACTGATCTAATCTGATTAAGCATCTGTGATTTAACATTTCTACCGCTAGGGAGCAGTGTAACTCAGGAAAATTAATTTGGCTGGTAATTTGTATATATATGGAATGGGCAGAAGTAGGTTTACAGTTGTGAGTTCATGAAACAGTTTATTATTTATTAATTGTTGTATTGTTAATTTGTATTAAAACTGTAAATCTACTTTTCCCCACCCCTGTATATAAAAGATACACTTTCTCATGAAGATGAGGACTATCTGCAAAGAATTCAGTTCGTGTTGTTTTCAGTAGTGATCATCTACATTGCTTTACTTAGTTCCCATCACAAATAACAACATGACTCTGGAAATTAGTCGTGAAACAGATGAGAGCAGGAGCCTACAAATGTTTAAAATAAAGGACCAGGTAGTAAATATTTTACTCTTTGTGGGCCATATGGTCAGTTTCTGTCTCCATTACTCGACTCTGTGCCATTATAGCATGAAAACAGTGATAACAATACTTAAATGAATAGGCATGTCTGCATCCTAATTAAACTTTATTTATAAAAATGGGGTGGGAAAAGAAAAACAATTTTTATATTTCAAAAATATCTCAACTCAAGTTCTTAAAAAGCAAAACAAACAAACAAACACAGATGGTGGAGCAGATTTGGCTTGAGGGCTATGTTTGCTGAACCCTGAACTAGAGGGGCAGTTTTTGAACATGGATAATTTTCAGGAGTACTTCGGGAGCTTGTTGAATATTTAGAGTCTTGGACCCCGCATCAAATCTACTGAAGTAAAATATCTTTTGACGGGGCCCAGGCATCTGCATTTTTAAAGTCCCCACATGATTCTAAAGCAAATACTAATTGAGTAACCATTATGCCAAAATAAAATTAACTGCCCCTTTTAAGGAACTGCAAGGCCCTCCTTGGCCTATTATAATATTTTCAGTATATGAGTATCTATCTATGGTATAAAAGATATAACTGTAAAGCTTAGGCTCAGATTATCTCCATAGGTACCCTCCAAGCCCATCAATGTAGGTCTCATTCCTATGTAAATGTTTATGTTAAGTCACTGTTTTGGGAGTTGTCTTGTACCACAGCACATCCTAATCTGTCCTGACTAATACAGGGACATACTGAATTAGTTTGAACAAAGAATGGGAGGAGATTAAAGAAAATAGTACAAAGAGAAGGAAGAGTTTAGAGAGATGGTAGAATGTTGTGCAGTATCTCCCCAAAATATCCCACATCTTCAGTAAATGCACAACTTCACAAAATTTGCTGTGATTGGATTTTTAATTTATTTTTCTTCCTTTTTTTTCTTTATGCAGAAATTGGTGAAGGGGAGGAGTTTATGGCCAGGGCACTCGAGTACACAGGTGAAGAAACAAAGGCAACAAACACACAGGGATACAGTGAGGAAGGAAGTTGGGTAAGAATATTTTAAATATGAAGTGTCCATTGCTCATGAAGTGTTCTTTAAAGGTAGGGTTTCCTTGGTATGTTTCACCTTGGACTAAGTAAATCTATACTAATAATAGACAAATATGTAAATTGACCACTCCTTTGCGATGCCCACAGCCAGTCAGGAGTGAGTATGCAAATAAACCCGACAAAGATGGCGGGCCTGTGGGGGGGAACACAGGCGTTTTGCACTGCCCCAGCTGCTCTGAGCCTCTGGGTAGCGTGGGAAGGCAAAAGGCGGCTCCAGGCCGGAGTGAAGGCGGAAAGGCGGCTCTGGCCAGAGCAAAGGCGGTGCCGGCAGCCAGGGGAAGGAAGGCCTATTCTTGCACAAATCTTCGTGCATCGGGCCTCTAGTGTATATATATATTTAGAAAGCCATGCTTTAAAAAGAGCTGCAATGGTTTTTGGTAAGAAAGTGATAGCATATATATTTACTTGTGGTCCTAAAGCATACTGCATATTTTGGACACTTGTCTAACAAATAAGGCAGCTTTAATTTTCTGGGGCAGAGGCAGCTTCTGGGATGCAAAAAGCCATTTATTTCTTGCTTGCTGAGGAATGTCCTTTTGTTTCTCAAGGTCAGAGCTCTTCTCTTGACTATGACCTTAATTTCTTCCGTGGAACCACCCGTTCCAAGTCTGGTAGCCAGTGTTCACTTCAGGGTGTCATTAATGACTGTCACTTCTTACCCACATGGTAGGAAGCGGGCATGTCTCCCACCAGGGATAGAGCCCACAACCCGGGCATGTGCCCTGATCCAAATCAAACCTGCAACTTTTAGATGCATGGGGCGTTACCCAACCTACTGAGCAATACCAGCCAGAGCTCTCATTTATTCTGTGTAAATATTTGCAGTAAAAAGAGTTTTGCTTTGTTTTTGCATATACATATGCATTTTGGATTATTTCTTTTGGTGCATTCCTGGAAGGGGAATTACTGGACTCAACAGTATGGAACTTCTTTAAGGCTCTGAATATATATTATATTCCTAAATTGCTTTCTAGAATTTTGTAAATTCTAGAACATAAATTCTTCCTCTAATGGTATAGCTATCTACACTAATAAAAGAGAAAGATGCAAATTGACCATACCTTTGTGATACCCACCAGCTAATCAGGAGTGAGTATACAAATTAACCCAACAAAGATGGTGGGTTAATTTGCATAAGCAGGCACCGAGCAGCCGGGGGCGGGGAGGGATGCTTGTGTCATTGCCATGGCGATGATGCAGGCATTCTGCACAGCCCTAGCTGCTCCGGGATTCTGGGCAGTGTGGGAAGGCAGAAAGGCGGCTCCGGCTGGAGCAAAGGCGGTGCCAGCAGCCAGGGGAAGGAAGGCCCATTCTTGCACGAATCTTCGTGCATCGGGCCTCTAGTCTCATCATATTAGCCCTTTATAAACCCCTTTTTCCTTTGACATGTTAAAGAAGATATTTCTTTATCTTGCAGTGTCAATTTGTATTTTTTTATTATTAATGAGTTTGAACTTTTAAAATAGTTTTATTAAATTTGTTTTTCTCATTTTTGAATAGTCAGTTGATGTACTCTGCTCATTTGTTCATGACTTATCTATAGGGGTCCTAACTTCATTTCATATTAGTTTGGTCCAGAAATATGTATATTAAAGATATTACTCTTTTGTTTTATTTTGTACTCACAATATTGTCAGTGTTTGTGATTTTTGCTTATGATTTTTAAAATAAATTTTAGAGGAAGGGGAGAGAGAGATAGATAGATAGATTTGTTGTTCTACTTATTTATGTGTTTACTGGTTGGTTCTGGTATGTGCCCTGATGAGGGAATTGAGCCTGAAACTTTGGCATATCAGGATGACACTGTAAGCAAGTGAGCTACCTGGCCAGGGCTGCTTATGATTTTTGATGCTGTTAGTAGTTCTAGTAAAAATTTTTTTCAGTGCTATAAAGATGTTTATAAATATACCAATTATGAAAGTTCAGAGGCAGGGAGAAATAGTAGTGGTGAGCTAAGCATAATGGCTTTTTCTGGGATGGTAGTGTAGGGATTTTCATCTTTGACCTGCTCAGAGGTACTATCCTATATAATAAAAGGCTAATATACAAATTGTCCCCTCGACTCAGAGTTCAACCAGGGGGTGGGGACGGTCAACCGCCTGCGGCCCCTCCCCCCAGCTGGCCCAGCCTCCGATCAGCCCCCACTACCCCAATCAGGGGCAGGGCCAGCCTGCCAACCGCCTACAGCTCCTCGCCCCAGTGGCCTGGCCCTTTCGGCCCCTATTGGGGCGGGCCGGTTGAACCCCGCCCATGCATGAATTCCTGCACCGGACCTCTAGTGTATTCATAAGTAGGTTCTATGTTATCCTTTGCCTGTTTTCCCATGAATAAGATACATACCTGCATACCTGGGGATAAATATTAAAAATGTATGTGACTCCTGGATGTGCTTATAAGCTATTTTAGCTTACATATCATGTCCTAGGTACAGACCTTCTTTTTCTTCTTTTCATAGATTTGTAGGAGATAAAAAATGTAATAAAAATGCATGTATCATTTTACTTTAATGATAAAGGTAAGTTTATTATATTTAAGATAATTCCCTAAAAGAAAAGGTAGGTCATTGGAAGCAGATTCAATCGCCATTGTATGTCATGCCCTAGGAAAATTGAGGAAGAAAGATAAGACTTAATTAATGAAGAGGATGCATTCTAAAGATACCTTTTACTATGCTTTCTGAACCCTTACCATATCAAGCTACTCCTGTTGGTAGTTAGTACCAGAATTAACTAATATCCCTTTTGGGCTCAAACCATCATGCTTACATCAAATTGCCTCCTTTAGATTTTGAAATTGTAGACTCATAGAGTTGTCGGCCTGGAAGATTGGAAGACTATCTGGTCTAGTTTTATTGTTGTGAAAACAGAGACCCAAAGAATTTCAATATTTTCTCAAAAATTAACATTTCCTAAAAACTAATGCTGAGGTCCAGACCAGATCTGAAATCTCTTACCTTCTACTCTGGAGTTTTTTCATAACCCTACATTGAGTAAAGGAAATTGAAAGGGCGAGGGCTATGCCCTCCATCTTGCCCCGTATCCTCCATGTTGGGGCAGCAGCCATGTGCTTAGGAAAGTATATGACCCCATCCTGTGTAACAAGACCCGACTTGCACCTGGCCAATCGGCAGGGCCCACAGTCATCTCTCCTCCCCTCACTCCACCCCCCTATAAAACCCCCTTTTTTCCCACGGGCGGGCACTCTCATCTCGCCGTGCGTCGGTGGAGGCTGAGAGCCAAACCCGGGTTTGATAATAAAGGACTCTTTGCTTTTGCATCGGACTCGGCTGGCTCCCTGGGGTGGTCTAATGGAGATCTTGAAATCTGGGCATAACAGAAATTAGTAAGAACATTTTAAAAAGCATAGCTACCTCACAATGAAAACTATGCATTTGTACTTTTTTTTTTTTTAGCATAAAATGCATTAGTCCAAGAGCAATGTTCAAAAGCAATCACTTTATTGTGTTTCTAATACACATAAAAGAAACCACCAACTCTAGCATGTGGAACATTGTGTGTTTAAAAGAGGTGTAAATTATGATGCTCAGAGTTTGTCATTTGCTTATAGAAGGATCCTGCTTTGCAAGGCTTTCTACCAGATGTCAGAAAGCAACATTTTAGGAGATATTTTCCATTTGCTACTTAAGAAAAGATATATACATCTGAAAACCTCTTTTAAAGTTACCTCAAAGGAAAACTATCTGTTGCAAGACTCTTCAGCTTATTTGTGAAAAATGAATTATCGTAGAACAAGGTAAACAAAGCCATAAAAAGCATGCTCAAAACTGTCAGGGATGCATACATCTTTTAAATCAGAAGGGAAGCTCACTGCTGCATTTTAACCCAGTGCTTTGTTATGGCAAACCAAGTCAGTCATTGAAATGATGAATTTAAAAAACACACCATTTTAGTTTTACAGTGATAAACATACTATGTACACTCTTGTTAACTACTGTGGAGCATGACGAATGGGACCACGCCACTGAACTTTGTGGAATAAACTCCTTGCTGTAGGCTGTGTGGAAGCTTGTTATTACCTAGATTTATTTTACGTTAGATGGACTGTTATTTGGACAAAATATAGTTCTAGTAGTTATCATTTAAAAATGACCCAACTAAATGCTTTTTATTGTTACTTCCTCTGAAAACATCTTTCATCCATAGATAAATGTCCATATAGACATGTTGGAAGATAAAGGAATCTGAAGCTTTTTAAGAATCTTTCTGAAAATTAGGAAGTAAGATATTAAATACAGCATTTTAAAAGTACAGTCAATATATTTAACTCAATGAGCCTAGCTTAGCTAAGTTACCCATTTATTTTCCATCACACTCTCCTACAAAATGTTAAAGTACTCTACTATCTCACAGAATAAACCACAATGCCATACTGGCAATTACCATTTATATTTTATTGAGTTAAGTGTCTATTGTTTGATTTTTGAAAACTTGGGCCAATAAGTATTTGTGCAGTTATTGTAAATGAGTTGGTGTAGGCTTTTTACTATGAACCCATTTCAGAGGTGAATAAACTCAGCTGTGGAGGGAGCGTGTCTATGAGTTCTTTAGGAAGTTGAAAGGACCAATGGCAGAGTGCTCAACATTTAGAATTCATCTTCTGGCACCTGGTCCTGAGCTCCCTCTATGACCTCATGCTAAGAATGAGTTACATCTGTAGAAGTATTAGGCAAAGGTAAAACTTGGTGTTTTCATTTTGTCACATTTTTCTTAATAAAAGTAGATATAGAGATGTTAAATAACTCAATTTATGAAACAGTTCTTTTTTGGGGAGTTAAGTCAGCAGGAAACTATTATACTTTCCCCTTTCTAGGTCAAGAGATAAATATTCCAAGAGTGCTCAGGGGATTCTGAAGTATATATCACAGCTCCCCCCAAAAAATTATAAAATCAGAAATATGATTGCTTAACTAATGATGAG